CGAAGAGAAGAATTAGTTAGTTATTCTGTCAGGAAATTTCTCCTTAGTTTCAGGTTGATTGTCTTGTTAACAAGCTTCCACCCATTGCTTCTTGTCCTTTCCTCAGGTGCTTTGTGGAATAAGTCAACCGCTTCTCTTCTGTGGCTTTCCGAAAGAGTTATCATATCATCCCTAATTCTTCTCTTCGTTAAGCTAGACATACCTAGTTCCCTTAATCATTCCTTTTATATCCTGCAGCTCCCTTATCATCTTGTTGCTCTCCTCTGCATACTGTCTAGAGTCTCAGTCTTTTGTATTGTGGTGATCAGAATTGGATGCACTAATCCAAGTATGACATCGCTATTACGATATAAAGCAATACTATAACTTCTCATGATCTTGATGTTATCCCTCTGTTGATGTAGCCTAGACTACATTGGCTTTTTTGGAAGCTGCAGTACACTGCTAGTTCCTGCTTAATTGGTAGTCCACTAGGACACCTAGATCCCTCTCACAGTTACTACTGTTGAGCCAGGTACAACCTACTCTGTACTTCTGCATTTGGTTTTTCCTGCCTAAAGGTAAGCACCTTACTTTTCTCACCTCTGAACTGCAGGTTGGCTAGGGCCAAGTGTCAAGTCTTATCAAGATCCTACTGAATCTTGAATCCAGAGTTAGCAATTCCACCCAGCTTGGTGTCACCTGCAGATCTGGTGAGCTCCCTTCTACCCACTCATCTAGGTCATTTATGAAGATGTTGGAGAGTACTGGCCCCAAAACAGAACCTTAGGTACCCCATTGCATGCTTCTTTCCATGTAGAAATAGTTTCATTCAGGAATACATACTGAGTTTGGTTGATCACTTAACTGCAAATTCATCTGGTGGTGGTACTTTATATCTCACATTTTTCTATCTTATGAAGAAGTTCTCTGCAATGGTTTATTTTTCAAATGCCTTATTGGAGTCTAAGAATACTATATCCACAATGTTTCACTGATTCATTAATTTAGTCACTTTATCAAAGAAGACAATAAGATTTGTCTGGAGTGATCTCTTTTTTTTTTAAGCAAACCTATGCTGGCTTCCGATAATCACCTTATTCATTTCTTGATGCTCACAAATTCACTGCTTCAAGCCGAAGTGGCGCAGTGGTTAGGGTGCAGTACTGCAGGCCCCTTCAGCTGACTGTTATCTGCAGTTCAGCGGTTCTAATC